TAAACCCAAGAACTGGAGGTTGCTGTGAGCTGTGGCACTATGGCACTCTACCGAGGGTGACAAAGTGAGACTCTGTCTCTAAAAAAAAAAAAAAAATTTTGAAATTGCTTATTGCCTCATGTTATAGTTCTCTTGGATAGTACAGACTTAGGCAGTTCACAGAGTAATAATGATAATAGTGAAAATCATCTATAAACTCCACCACCCCAAAATAACACGTATAATGTTTTTTGTCCTAATCTTTGTTTTTGTTTTGCATGAACTACTGAATGATGACTACTCATATACACGTATGCACTTACTCTCAGCAGACACAGTTCTATAGGCACAGACAGGAATTTTTTTATGGGCATTGTTTTATATCAGTGAGTATATAATTATCAGTGGACACACATAGATTGACCAGTTCCCTAGGGATGGACAGGTTTTTCTTTCCCCTTCTTCCACTGGACCCTCCTCCCCAATGTGTTGCAGAGGGTGTGTGTATGTATACATATTTTATCTGTGTTCACAGATATTTATTTTTAAATATGTTATTTTAAAATATAACTTATTTTTAAATATTATTTAAATATTAAATAATACTTTTTTAAAAAAACATTATTTTTTATTTCAGATTAATGTGAGACTGCAAACATCTAGGTCACAATATTTGAATTTGTTAGGTAGAATCCCTCTTGTAGTTGTGTCCTATGCCCAAAGAGTGTGCCATGTACCCCTACATTGTGTCCATTAAGTGGGAGCACCCTAAATCCTTCCTTTCTTCCCTCCCTCATTCCCCCTCCCTGCAACTTAAGTTGAAATGAGTTTTCTCCTATGTGAATTAGATTGCCTACTGGCTTCATATTAGTATTGAGTGTATTTGATACTTGCTTTTCCAATCTTGTAATAGTTTACTGAGAAGAATGTGTTTCAACTCCATCCAAGTTAATACAAAAGATGTAAAGTCACCATCTTTTTGTGACTGAATAGTATTCCATGGTATAAATATACCACAGTTTGTTAATATATTCCTGAGTTGATGGGCATTTAGGTTGTTTCCACATTGTGGCGATTGTAAATTGAGCTGTGATAAACAATCTCTAGTGCAAATGTCTTTATGATAAGGGGATGTTTTTTCTTCTGCGTAGAGGCCTAGTAGTGGGATTGCAGGGTCAAATGGGAGATCTAATTCGTGTTCTTTGAGGATTCTCCATACTTTGTTCCACTGAGGCTGTATTAGTTTGCAGTTCCATCAACAGTGTAAAATTATTCTCCTCTCTCTGCATCTGTGCCAGCATATACAACTTTGGGTCTGTTATTTATTTTACAGTGGTAATTTACAAAAAGCAGGTTTGCTCAGGGTAAGGGTAAACCCTTTTAAAAATTTGGTTTTTGCCTTGCCAAATTCCACTTTCCAATAATTGTACCTTTTGTAAAAATAATCTCATACCATCCTTTGGAGTTCTTTAGTGTCTAATCTTTAAACATTAAAGATTAACATTAAATAAATATAAATAGCAACATTTTTTGTATTTAATTTCATAAAAATTATTTGAATTTAAAATGTGATTTCTGAGTCCTGGGCATGATTTTTCTAAGTATTCTTAGAGATAACCCAATTTGAAAATGAAAGTGAATGAATGAGGTGAATATAGTGTCTTTTATAGTCAAGGTTATGTATTTCCCTTGTAAAGTGTAGCTACCTTGAAACAAGATTGTTGGTGGTTTGCTTTAATACTTAATATAGGCTGTTTTTCACTTAAAAATTAAATTATAATTAATATGCCAATCCTAAATATTAAGACTGATGAATTTTGACAAGTGATACACTATGTAACTAGCACCCCAGAAACAATGTTTATATTATGTCCAGTACCTCAGAAAGAGCCCTTGGGGTCCCTGTCCAGCTAGTTCCTAATTCCTGCCTCAGCTCTGCTTTCCACTCCACCCTTGGCAGTCACTTTCTGATTTATATCATCATGGCTTCATTTTGCCTGTTTTGGCTTCTTCCATTCAGAATGTTTTTGAGATTCTTCTTTGTTATTGCAGACGTGTTCCTTCCTTTTTATTGGTCAATAGTGTTTCATTGATGTCTAGTCCTCATTTTGCTTATATATTTTCCTATTGATGGATATTTAAGTTGTTTCCAGTTTGGGGCTATTGTGAATAAGATTCCTGTGAATTTTGTGTGTGTGTATGTGTGTGTATGTGTGAGACACGTGTTTTTATTTCTTTTGGACAAACACCTCAGAGAGGAATTGCGTTGTCATTTGGAAAGATGTCTATTTATCTTCATGAGAAACTTTCAGAAATTTCTCCAAGTTGCTGAACAATTTTTGCATTTCCACCAATAACATATGAGATTTCCAGTAGCTCCCCATCTTCAATATTTGGTCTGGTTCTTTTGATTTTGGCCCTTTTAGTAGATGTGAAATGTGTCTCAATTATTTGCATTTCCTTAATGATTAATGGTAATGAACACCCTTTCATGTGCTTATTGGACATGTGTATATCTTTGCTTTTTGTGTAACTTTTTGAGGTCTTTTGTTCAAATATACAGTGACTCGTCTGTTAATGATTTGTGGCAATGCTTGTTACATTCTGGAGACTGTTGTGAGAGATACGTACTTCAAATATTTTCTCCTAGTTTGTAGCTTGCCTAATTTTTTTTAAATGATGTTTCTTGATGGACTATGTTTTTCAATTTTGACAAAGACTAATTACCTTTTGTTCTCTTTTCTAGAAAATGCTTTTTGTAATTTTAAGAAATCTTGGTCTATGCTAAGGTCTTATAATAGTCTTCTGCTTCTAGAAGCTTATGCTTTTAGCTTTTTATCTTTAGGTTTATAATTCATCTCTCTTTTTTATGTATAGAATTTATATGAAGTGATCATATGAAGTTTTTCTTTATAGACTCTTTTTTTATTTACGGTTATTTATTTGATACGGTTTGTTAAAAAGCCTTATATTTCTTTGTTGCATAATTTTTTTCATAAATTAGCCAGATGGGTTTGGATCTGTGTCTGTGTTTTAACCTATCCCATTAATTTGATTTTCTGTCCTTATGCTGATATAATAATGAGTTCATTATTGTTAAAATCAGGTATGGTGAGCCACCTCTTTTTCTCTTTCCAAGATTGCTTTGTACCGTATTCTTCGTCCTTTGAATTCCCATCTAACTTACGAGATGAATGTTTCAAATTTCTTTCCTAAAGTCTGCTGAGATTTTGATTTCTAATAATCTGTTGATACATGTGGAGAGAATGGATAGGGTAAAAATACTGAGTTTTTCAATCTATGAACATATCTCAGAATTTATGTATTTCTAGGAATTTATCTATGCTATTTTAAATGGTAAAAATTTTATTTTTAATTGTGAATTGCTAACTACAAGGTCAGACAGTTACATTTGTGAACTCATCCTAGAAGTGCTACAAACCTCATTGCTGAGTATCGCCGTGGTCCCCTTCAGAGAATTCCCCTGGGGAAGCCGTCCGTGGATACCAGCACCTAGTCCACCTTTCAGAACACTTGTTCAAGGACGAATTTGCAAACTTTATTGTCAGGCCTTTTACAGGGATAGATCTGATAGCCCTTTCAGAGAAAGAGTTCCAGAATTGCTTTGAAGGGTGTACTAGGCACTGGCCTTGGTCCATAGCTTCCCAAGGGGAGTACTTTGAAGGTGATCCCAGTTGGTATTCACCAATGAGTTTATGGGAATGACTTTGTGAACTTAATTGTCCTATTTAACTATACTATATTTTGACCTTATAACCTCCAAACTTGCTAAATTCTATGTTTTAGTAGTTTTTTGCAAAAATTTGGTGCTGCTTTGTGTTTGTGACAAAACCTGGCATTCTATAGTATTTTTTATGGGCATAAACGTACTATGTAAGTAATACCAGTTTTACTTTTTTCTTCTCTCACCTCAGTGCCTTTTTATTACTCTTGCCTTATTTACCGGGCTTGGACTTATAAAACAATATTGAAAGAAATGGCAAGAATGGACATCTTGGTTTTGGTATGTGTGGGGAAAGTAGGGTTTTTCATAATTACCCTTTATTAGATGAAGGAAGTTCCCTTCTGTCTAATTTGCTGAGAGCTTTTTATCATGAATGGCTACTAAATTTTGTCACATGATTTTTTTGTATCTATTAAAGTAATCATATGGTAATTTTTCTTCATTCTGTTAATATAATGAAGTACATTGATTTTTAAAATGGTAAGCCAGCTTTACATTCCTGGATTAAATACCACTTGATTATGATTATTCATTTTTATGAATTGCTATATTTGACTTCGTAGTATTTTGGATTTTCATATCCATATTCATGATGTATTTTGGTCTGAAATTTTCTTACAATCGGTTTTAGTTAATAGGATTTTGGTAATAGCATTAGTGCTGGCTTTATAGGACCTTTAAAAAATATTCTTCAGATCTCTAGCTAATTAAAATGCTCATCTGTTTATCTTCCTTTCTTGTGACCTAAATTAACTATTAGTAATTCTCATAGACTTAATGCACAGTTAAAATTTTTGGTTTAAGGAGATAATGGATATTCTCCCTCCCCCATTTAGAAGCTAGGGGGACATTTACTTTGAATATATTTTGCACAGAAACACAGTACAGTGGTTAACACAAGCCCTGCAGTAGGGCAGATTTGAGTTTATAACCCTGTTCCGTCAATTGCTACCTTTATGACAATGGGCAAGTTACTAAATCTGATTCAGTTTTACTTTCCTCATGTGTGGAGTTGGTTCTTTCTACAGCTGATGTTAAATAAGAAAATACAAGTAAAGTTTTCAGCACAGTGCCTGGTACAAATGTTTAGTTCTAGATAGTTGTTATTAGTATTTTTATTTGGGATTCTGGTTAGGAAAAAGGCATACAGGAGTTTAGGGAAGTAGCTTGGTTTTCTTTTTTTTTTTTTTTACAACTATATCCCAATATAAATTAAAATAGAAATACATTTAAGAGGTATAAATTCCTCATAAAATTACATGTGTTCTAATTGTTGCCTTTGCATATCTTTACGGTTTTCACATTATTCTTTTTCTTTCTTTAAAAATTACCATCTTGAGTTTAAAAGTCCATGCCTAATATTTTCTTAGCACAATAGTGATGAGCATATTTTAAGTTATTGAGCAATTAACCAGAACATTATATTTATATACAGTGCATGTACCACAACAATGTAGAAAAGATGGAACACCATCTATTTTTAAGACTGACTTGAAAACCACAAAATTGTTCAGTTAACCAAATGTACTGGAAATAATTTCCTGTTTCTTTACTCATCTGACTTACTAGCCTTGACATGCTTTGAAAATTAGTGGGGAGATTGCATTCTTTCTCAAAATGTATGTTGACTTTGGTATGCATTGTTTGTCCCCAAACTTCTACTACTCTTTCTTTGGGGAAAGCTGTGGTAGAAGCAAATTCCTGTGGTTCGTGGCGTTCAAAATATTAGGAATCAGGATGCATTAACCCAGGTTTTTCCCCTCTTTATGTAAGTGTTTATGATTAATTGAAGTGCCAACAAGAAAACTGTCATTCTTCTAAAAAAAGTTTTAATACCATAGGTGAACAGTTTCTACACTTCTGAAAAATTTATTTAAGATAATTTTGATAATGTAGTAATAATCAGTATGATTCTAAGGCAGACACCCTTTTCAGTTCAGTTCAGCAAACGAATGAATGCAGAAGGCACAGAAAATACTGTGCTAAGGAATTAAAGGTACATACGTAGCTGAAGGGTACATGGCCCTTGTCTTTAGAAGGTGAACAGTGTAATTGGCAAAGCAGACTCCTCCTAGGAACCTAGAACAAGGCATTCAATAATCAGTGCTTCATTAGATGTATAAATGAAATAATATGGGAATACAGCAAGGGAGGAGTATTTGCTTGAGGAAATGGGGAAAAACTCTGTTAAGAGAGTGATATTTGAACTGTACATATATGGTATTTGGAAAGTTTCCAACGTGATATTCCTGCAGAGTAAACACCATTCGCTGAGAAGTATGGCACGTTTGTGGGATGTGAAGTTATTTGGCTGCTATCCCTGACATTGGTTAATTAGGTTAATAGAAAGAGATCAGTGTGAAAGTGTTGACTGCCTCAAACTTAAAAGAGACCTGGGAACCTTTAACAAGAGTTTGGACTTTATTTTTTATCAAATAGGAACCTGTTACATTTTTGAACTATAATCTATATATTAAAAGATAATTGGCAAGAATTCATGAAGGAGAATAAAATAGAGACAGAGTCTTTTCTTAGGAAGTTGTTAAAATACTTCAGACCAAAGCAAGGTGTAAGTTTCAAATCTCATTTACATTCTTGTATATTATGGTATAAACATATAAAGTACTATGTGTCATTCCTCATTGAATCCTATTAAGATACCAGAGATATGAGAATATACACAATATATACTTTAGTTAAGGTTCTTCTGTACAAATAACGTAAACTAGTTCTGGCTGGCTTAAGCAAAAAGAAATTTATTGGCTGCCAGAGGATCCCATGGAATCAAAAACAGAAGTGAATAATAAAAGCTTCAGAACAGCAGGAGGTTGGAGGTCCTGAGAAAACCTGCAGGAGTCAGTGGAAATTCTTTCCAGGGATCTCCTCCTGGATTCTCAGTTTAGCACAAGTGCTTGTCCCTAAACAGAAGGCTGTTAATTTCTAACATTGGAAGTATTGGGGGAGCAGAAGGGGTATGACTGCAACGTAGGTTTGTCATACGTATATGATTTAGTGAAACTCTATTAAAATATAGTACATGATCATTAATTTGGTTTCTCACTGACAACTTATTATAGATGCCGTTGTTCAAAATATTTACTGTCTACTGTATGAAGTGCTTTTTTAGTTACAATTCTGATTTCAGATTTGCAGAGAGTAAAAGTGTGCCGGTATCTTGTTTTTGGAAGTTTGGATGTTTTTACGATTCTAGTTGACGAACTTGCTGAAAATAAAAGAAATACTAGTCCTTTACTAGTTTCTGTAGTCATAGAGCTTTAAAATTATCTGTTTGGAAGTGACATATGTAAACGATAATATGATAATATGGATATCATAACAATTAATATTTAATAAGTACATACAGTGCCAAACAATGTTCTGAGCATTTTATGTGTATTATTTCATTAAATCTTAATAACCCTTTTATGAAAGGACTGCTCAGACCGCTTTACATGTATTATATAAATAAAATACTTCCATTTTACAGATGAGAAAACAGGGATAGGGTAGTGTAATAATGGCTTAAAATCATGTAACTAGTAAATGGTGGAATCTATCCCAGAGTGGAAATATGCTTTCAGTCATCAGACTACTGTTCTTCCCTGGAGCATCTCTGATTCTCTTGGGCTCAAGCAATCCCCTTCTTTCAGCCTTCTAAGTAGCTGGGACTATAGGTGCCTGCCACAACCCTCAGCTAGTTTTTTTGTTTTTAGTAGAGATGGGGTCTCACTTTGTCTCAAGCTGGTCTTGAACTCCTGAGGTCAAGCAGTCTATTTCCCTTGGCCTCCCAGAGTGCTAGGATTATAGGCATGAGCCACCATGCCCCATCTTATTGTTATTTTTATTTTATTTTATTTTTTATTTTTTGAGACAGAGTCTCGTTACGTCACCCTCGGCAGACTGCTGTGGTGTCACAGCTCACAGCAACCTCAAACTCTTGGGCTTAAGCAATTCTCTTGCCTCAGTCTCTCAAGTAGCTAGGACTACAGGTGCCTGCACAACGCCCAGCTATTTTTTGTTGCAGTTGTCATTGTTGTTTAGCTGGCCTGGGCCAGGTTCGAACCCACCAGCCTTGGTGTATGTGGCTGGAGCCATAACCACTGTGCTATGGGTACTGAGCGTAGTTATTATTATTTTTTTTAAATACATCTCCTTTATTGGGTTATTAACTCCTTGAAGACAGGAAATATCTCTTAATTATCTGTTTTCTGCACATATTTGTTGAATTAATGTCTTGTTTAAAGTTAGTCTCTAAGTTGGCTGCATATTTTGTGAATAAGTGATTTCGTTTACTGGGTTATTAACTCCTTGCAGATAGGGACCATCTCTTAATTATCTATTTTCTCCACATCGTATTTCTTAAATTGAATTAATGTCCTGTTCAAAGTTAGTCTCTAAGTTGGCCACATATTTAGTGAATAAATGATTTGTTAATTTATTTTTTTATGAACATTCTTGTATAATGATCTCAACTTTGACATTCTTTTGATCTTGACAAGACAATTGCCATATCTTTTTCTGAAAAAAGTTATTTGTATAAAATCTCTTCCTAGGACTTCCCAGAGTATGCCTGTCCAATAGAACTTTTTATGATGTTAATATGAATATGGTAGACAGTTGTGGGTATTGAGCACTTGAAATATAGCTTGTTGTTTCTGCTTTTATAGTGCATAATGTAATTTTAGAGTAGTAGTATATAAAATCCTCACATTCTTCTCTCCCCGTCCACTGACTTGATTTATTAATGGTAAGGATGTTTTAAAAGAAAAATAACTTTTCATTTTAATGTACTTTTAAAAATGTACTTTTCATTTTAATACATTCAGCTTCCTACTCTTTTAAGAGGGGTGTGAATTGAATTTTTAATTATGCATGTACCTTGAATTTCAGTAATAATGAGTTAGAGTTGTTGATTCATACATTTTGAATAAAATTTGTCTTTTGAAATTGGTCATGTTAAGCTTTCTGAAGAAGTATAAAACCTAGTTTATTAGTTAAATAATTTATTCAGATTATTTATTAGCTCAGTATTAATGCTAACACTTCAATTTTAAGTCTCTTACATAGTGAATAGTATGTAAATTTTTTTTTTCTTTTTCTGAGACCTTGTCTCACTCTGTTGGCGGGGCTAGAGTGCTGCGGCATCAGCTTAACTCACAGCAACTTCAAATTCCTGGGCTTAAGTGATCCTCCTGCCTCAACCTCCCTAGTAGCTGGGGCTACAGGCATTTGCCACAACACCTGGTTAATTTTTCTACTTTTAGTAGAAATGGGCTCTTGCTCTTGCTCAAGCTGGTCTGGTCTCAAACCTCTGACCTCAAACCATCTTCCCACCTTGGCCACTCAGAGTGCTAGAATTATAGGTGTGAAGCCACCAGGCCTGGCCTAGGAAGTACGTCTTATAAACAAAACTTGAGAAAGGTTTCTTGCCTCTTTTTTTTTTTTCCTTGTCTAATTCTTATGCATAATGTATGGGAGAGTCTCAAATGTTGTTCTTAAAGTCCTTAGTTAGGTCATATGGTGAATTTAAACTGTTTTCTTGTAACAAAAGTCCTTAACTTTTTACCCCATGCTTTCAGATCCTCATGTTCTAATCGTTTGCTCTCAGATTAACCTTCTTTGTGCGTGTTCTTCCCCCACCTAAATTGTACACGTGTAAGTCAAGTAAATTAGTTGTGCTTATTTATGTAATACCTACACACATACATACATGAATATCCTTAAATGCTTGGATAGTTAAGAGCTGCTGAATGTAGAATAAAATATGGAAGACAAGGCCAATTGAATTTGAAATTGTCTTATCTTGATAAATTATGTTTAAGAGTTCAAAAAACTCAAAAGGGGAAGTTTGTAAAAGAAATCCTAGACACTGACCTTTATCATCAACATGTCTTCCCTATAGTGGCCAAAGTTTGTTTTTATTACGTTAGGCTGCTTCTGCTCAATTATACAGCACTGTTCACTTTTGATTTTAGAGGAAAGCTTAAAAAGCTGTGCAAAGTTCTTCCTCAGTTAGTTTCTAGGTTGGAAAGATGACCTTTTTTTACCCTCAGACTTACATTATAATGTAACTTGAATAGGTCTTTTTCTTCCTTTTGTGTGTGTATTTTCCAAATCAATATTTTATTTATGAAGAGCTAAAACAGAGTCATATGGTTTAAAAGTCAAAAAGTATGAAAAGAAAATAAATTTCTCTTATATCTGATCCTACATTTTTGTAGTTACACCTGTTGCCTGACAAAATCTCTGATAGTAGTTTTGTCTCTTCTCAGACAATTCTGTGCACACTCAGGCAAATGCGTGTTACTTACTGTGTTCCTGCTGGTGTGTGCAGATGTTACCATACTCAGCCTTCGCATTTGCCTTGTTTTCACATAACAGTGAAATCTTGGCTTATCTATACTTAAAGAGCTGTTTTTAAAAGCAGCTGTATAGTATTCTCTTGTACAGGTGAATTGCAATTTATTTAATAAGTGAATGGGTATTTTGCTTGATGATCTAGAAAATTCTAGTTGCCTCAGTAATTTTGGATAATTTTAAAGTCTGAAAATTTGAATTTATAAGTGTTAGGTTTAAAATACTATTAAAATACTATTCACTAAAACATATGTAACCCAGTTGTTTGTGTAGTTTGAAAGGACCTAGTCCACTGACTTTTTGAAGAGACTCTTCTTGGCAAGTTTCACTGATGAGAGGGGCTGCTTTCCCCCTCTGATTACTGCTAACTGAAGCTAAACACAGTATCTTGCTAGGCAGCTTGGGATGCTTGTACTCATAAGTAGTAGGCTGTGACAGTTAAGTGTTAATACTTTTTTTGTTTTTAATTTTAACAATTATATAGTTGCATGCCTTGTGCCTCTTTTTGTGCTAGGTTAAGTATAGAAATAACCCTGGACCCTATCTTCAAGGAATTGATGATCTGTTGAGGAGACCTAAGTGAACTGATGACAGTACAGTAACATAATGAAGGTACTTAAGCACGGTGGGAACTCAGTAGATGGGCTTCTGTCCCAGACTGAGACAGAGTGGGAGCGTGGGGGGTGGGGTCCCATAGGTGATACCGCTGAAGTTTGAAAGGTGAGCAGACTTAGCCGGGGAGGAGGATGTAAGAGAGTGTTTCACTTTTATAAGTATGGGTTTTGAAATAGAGAAGGACATGAGAGGGGATAATGACTTCTGAGCCACTTTCATGTGTCTTCAGCACATCATGTGACAGGTAACAATAGGCTGCATGAAACACATTATTTTCCTCATCATTTTGCTATTATTCTGCACTGATGAAGCCACATGCAAAATATCTACTTTGTTTTAACAAGAGTAACCAGACTGATAAGGGATTCATAAACCAGGTTATATGAGGAATGATCAAAATAAGTTTTACCTTAAAACAGATGCCCTGAGACATAACGTTGTTGGAGGCCACCTCTAGGGAAGCAAAAATGATACTGCCATGGCATAGAAATAAGAAGTATACTGTAGTTGGAAGACATACTATATACCTTCATTTTACGTTGTCGTACCTACAGTTCCTGGCATCGTGCTTGCCACATAGCAAATGCTCAACAGATACTCAAATGAATGAACCAAGGTATTGTATTCTTCAGATTGAGCATTAAAAATTTTCTAAGCGAGCTGCTAAAGAGCTAACATAGCAAGATACTCTTATTGCAAAACAGTAATTTCTCCCTTAAGTTGTGAACTCCCTGTTACAGTAAACACATAAATGCTGTGGTAATTGTCTGTTAAGAATGTCACATAAAGGAATCTTGAGTTTCGTCCGCCACACACACCCATTGTCATTTTCTACCTGTCTTACTATGTGGATTTTTGAAGTTGCTTGGCCTTAGTTTTCTTGACTGACAAGATCACTATATATATTTATGGTTTGACAAAATGGATATATTTGCT